CTTTTTTCACTGTTATTTGCATTTTCTCCCTTGCTTCAAACTATAGATTTTTTTAACTGAAATGTGGGCTTCATGCTTGCAGAAGTTATTACAATACAATACAATACAACGCGATCGTTAGCTTTGGAATGTCCACAACGAATGGCGACCAAAATGGTCAAAGGACTGCATTCCAGCCGTTGGCGCACAAGGACTGGAATCACTGCAACTGTACTCCACACAGTATCACCGATAGGACTTCATTTGGGTGTATCAAATAATGCAGAACCAAGATCACCCATATATATATATATATATATATATATATATATATATCGGTATAATGCTCCACAAAAATAATTGACGGTTAACTTTATTCTAATACCCTTGAAAATTGCCTCGTCGGTTATCCCCAATTTTCGTTCTAGCTCAAATGTATCTGGATCTGAGAAGTTGATATTTGATTTGCGAAATTCGTTTTTATGAGTGATGGATTAAGTGTTGCTTATGGTGTGCAACAAATGACGATACCCAGTGACCTTAATTTGACCATCTGTAGACCAAATTGATCAGTTGCGTTGCTTAACATATAGGTGAAAAATAGACAAATGTGAAAACTAGTACTGAATGTGTGCCGGATTGAGGTCAACAATCAACTGGTTGTGCTCATATTGGAGAAAAATAAAGTCATCATCGACTCAGTTTTCAAATGATCTTCCTGTGCCTTTTTTAGTGCAATGCTATCATGAACCTGTGAGCACCTGCTTTCACTATTGCCTTCACTAACTGAAATTCGTTTACCGGAGTACAGGCGGAACCAGTGAATGATTTGATGTTGACCTCGGTTGAATCGGTTGACCTCTGGATCTCACCTGTGTTCTAAGGTAACGGTTAGGTGCGTACCATCGTCAAACCCCATCGACCAGTGGCCTGTATAAGAGCGAATTTTGATGTGACTAGGGTCAATTGAGAAGTGTTTTCAGCTCCTGAAATGTGCTCTTGGGGTTATCCATGCATATACATCCTTGGTCTGTCGGTCCTTATTGGAGCGAGTAAGCCCGTGTTCTCTGAGATATTGGAAAATTGATCGTTAATATAACTGTCACTAGGTGATACAGAATTGATGAACATCTTAATCAGACTGCAATAAATTAAACTTGCATGGTTTTTAGTTTTAAAGGGAACCTTCCAGAGAATCCCTGAGAACTGATGCCATTCAGTGTGTACTTTTAAGTCAGTCGTCCACTAAAACCCTTGTCCTGGTCATCTCACTGTTGACCGCATCATCCAATGGAAACATCAACACATCGGCAGTTCTCAGCGAAGTTTCACGGATTAGTCAAATGGGTCACAATTTCTTTTCCAGTGCTACAAGTTGTCAAACTACCGTAAGATGAATAAAGAGTTTACGCATTGTTAGGAGGAGGGGCTAGTTTGGTTGGTAGTTTGTGTGTTCATTTAGCTCCGAACTCAACCCTAACTGCTTTAGAAAAATGGAGTTTCAGTTTCATTTTGAACTAATGTTGCGACGAAATTGAAAAGCTGCACGAATGACACTGTTTACGACACCCAGCCATATCACTCAGTGTCTCTAACAATCGGGTATAATCATCCCGAGGTTCCCATCCAGTGAGCCTAACGGGAACTACGTGACTCAGACTCCTGCTGAGGGTTTTCATACCCTCATGTCGGGTCTTAGGTGGACTACCCTTGGCTGGGGAAGCACAATTCAAAGCCAGAGAAGGTACGGTTTCAATGTGTACGAAAAACCGTTCGAGACCGGAGGTGAAATCTAAACGAGTACTGAACACGATTTATTATTATTATTGTTATACTAGTCATTAACTATTTGCATTGCAGAATGGCCACTTCTTTATTCCCCCAAACTCGGACTAAGCAGTACATATATGGTCTGGCTCAAATGGGTTATATAAAGTTAGAATCAGGCGATCTGGTGCTCACCCTTTCACTTGTTACATGTAGTTCGCACCCGTTTGAAGCCAGACTCTGTGCTAAACAAATCGCGGTACAATGAGTTTTGTAAAGTGGATCCCTTATTAGGCAGCTTTCGATGGCTCCTTTGGCCTCGCCGGAACAATAGTGGACCAGGTAGGAGAGCCTGATTGTGGTATCAGCTGTAGATTTTAGAACATTCGCCTCGAAACAGCGCATGAAGAGCCACAACCGGTCCCAAGACCAAATTAGCNCAAATTAGCCCCAGGTAACCCATGGGGTTATTTTCCCTTTCCCAAAACAATTGTTTGCGTTTTTATGGTTCAATACTGATTAATATATATATATACATATATATATATATATATATATATATATATAAACAGCGTAATATTTTTTTTGGTGTATTTGGCATGACTACGAATCACGGAAAATGACCTTTTTCGGCACTCCTTGTCCTATCTGAAATGTGCTCCGTAGGACTGATTAGACCATGGAAACTGAAATTTCCATCATACGGGTTCCCGTAGTACGTTGTTAAATCGGATACCATGAACTAACAGAAAGCCCCCTGTCCAGGTGGGTTATGTTAGGACGGAGCTTAAGCTACCCGTCCGATCGCGCACTCCTCCGAGGCAGGCCACACGCACGCTCGCAACGCTCCAGACAGGCTGATTCTGATTGGATGATCACAGAACGTGTCAGCCAATGTTTGTCCAATCGATCAATCGATATGTCAAGGACACAATCTGATTGGTGCGTCACTGCGCCGTTCTCGTATGCACGATTAGTTCTTTATGTTTTGCGTATCGATATCTGAACAAGGAATACACGATGACCGTTATCTCAACCTATGTTCTCTCTTCGCGCTGTTGTCGTCAGGGTTTAAGCAAAAGTCGCTCGTATCATTCGTATGTTTAGTCCAAACACAAGTTAGTAAACTGTTAGTTGCCCTTCTCTTCTTTGCTGTTCGGTTAAAAGTGGAGTGACTGAAGACGACACCTGAACACGAGTTGGCAATTCAGTTCAGCCCTAGCATGAGGTGGTTGGCTCAGTGATAACAAACACACTTTCCATGCGACCGGTTCGGAGTTCAAATCCCGGACGGGACGGTGGGTTTGCAATACAGATGAGCTCTGACAGTATCTAAAATCCAGTCCAGTGGTTTGAAATTTATGGTGTACTGGAAGATCTGAGGAATGTGCGTGAAAGAGAAGTTTGAACGATGTCCAGTTCTAATCAATGAATCCAAAACAATAAAATGGAATCCATTTGAATAAAACAAGTAACACAAGATGAGCAGAACTGATATTGGCCATCAATTTCGCGTGCTTTCAATCAGCTGTCTACGCACATCAAATAGGTCAAAGTTTTATCATGAGAGTACGTATATGGACATTTACAATTACATGGGGTCAAGCAGAAGGCATTGGGTGGCTGAGTCATTACCGAAGTCATTTGAGTATGGGCGAAAGAAGAGGAGGGGAATGTTAGCATAGAAACAGTTACGTAATGGAAA